AACGTTCGCAAGTGGAGACATTCATAAGTCGAGGTACCACTGTATAGTGGTGCCTTGCTTAACGGCGATAATCGAAACGTTCGCAAGTGGAGACATTCATAAGTCGAGGTACCACTGTATAGTGGTGCCTCGCTTAACGGCGATAATCCGTTCCAGGAAAACCGCTGTTAAGTGAAAACATCGTAAAGCGGAAAAAAAACCATTAAAACCCATTGAAACCCGTTCAGTATGTTCCAGTGGGGTAAAAACTCACCGTCCAGCGAAGATCCTCCATAGGGCGGCCATTTTCGCTGCCTGTACAGTGAGGAATCCGTCCCTAAACACAGGGGGAGCCATTTTAATCACCCAGGGGCCATTTTGAAACCGCCAATCAGCTGTTCAAAAAACGTCATTTTGCAAAGAATCGGTTCCCGAAGCAGGGAACTGATCATCACAAAGCGAAATTTCCCCATTCAGACCATCATTTTGCAATTGCAATTGCGATTGCCAAAAGATCGTCGTTAAGCGGTTTTGTCATAATGAGGGGCAATCGTAAAGCGAGGCACCACTGTATAGCAATACTTTTGGCTGATATTCGGCAGTCCTTCATGATCATGTCATGGATTACTTTCACATTTGCAGGCACAGAGACAGAAACAGGCCTTCCACTGGGTTTCTCACTTTCAAAACCGAAATGGCCAGTTTTAAAATTGGCAACCAAACGTTTAACTGTTTGTTGCATATGAAGGGCCACTGTCACCCATAGTTTGTGACATTTCATCATGATATGATTTGCACCTTTCCCTTGGACAAACGGGAACTTGATTATGGTCCTATGCTTTTCCACATTGAACTTTTCTGGAGGTGCCGCCATGTTCACTTTGGACCGGAAAATGAAAGTTAAGTTAAAATCATAAGTAGTTGTTTTTTGCACAGTTGAATATAGACAAATTGGCCAATACACCTTGCAATTTATAGCTTCCTAGCTCAATTTTTTTCTGGGTAAGGCCCAATACTTATCAGCACCCCCTCATCTATACCTGGCATGCAGGAAACCAGTACTGTGATCCAGGTTCATATGTTGTATATATGGGGAAGTACAGTGTGAAATGTGTTGGAGACTGAATACTAAGTACTGTACAAAGCAGTACAGAAACAACATTAATTTGTGGGTTCACCCTTTTGAAACTCAGAATGATAGCCTGAGTACACTTCCTCCTTTGTACAGAAATCACATCCGCACTTCTGAGATAATAAAAAGCTTGTCTTTACTGGAGAGGCAAATGTATGTTAGGTAAGGTTATGTCCTAATTCTAGCTAACACAGTTGGAGATATCAAGGGCCAGGGCTGTCCCTTTTCTTGTCTTCCCATTAAAGACAAGCAAATGGTGTGAAAAAGAAGAAAAAGTCACCATAATGATAGCAATTTACAGTTGCAGAAAGGTCAGCACGGGTCACAGGAGGTATAGGACAGTCTAGGAAACCCAGGTAGGCCCTCTTTACTCTTCTCTTCTGAGCATAAGCTGAGTTGTATCTAGTGACGTCCAACCCAGGAAAATCTGCAAAAAGGCTCCAGTAGCATAACAAACTTCATTGCTTCAGTGTGAGTGTTACAGAACAATAATTTGTTGTTAATGCACTTTCAAATTGCTTCTGACAATTGTGATTTCAATAGGGTTTTTAAATATGCAAGATGTTGTGTAGCATTACCTGTCCCAGTGGGTTTTCATGGCTGAGTGGGGATTTGAGGACCAAGGCTCCTGAATCCTAGTCCAACACTCTATTCACTGCACTACACTGGCACTTGACAATAACATGAATACTGTACAGTATTGTATAGTTTCACTCTCACACAGATTCACTGAAGTATTTTGGAGGAGTTGTTAACATTAAATTATTTTGATTTCTGGTAGGACTCATTTTATCCATTTTCACTTTTGGTTGATATGAATTATGTTTATCTAGGCTAAAGAAGAAAGAATAATTGTGTTGGAAACAGAAAATGCCTTTCTCCATCTCAAGCTTGCAGAGGTAATAATAGTCTCCATTTCTCCATTCATTTTTCCTGTTCATTTTATCCTGAATAAATTGTAACAATCTGTATTTTTCATTATTGTGTGAACAAAGTATTCTAGTTTTCTATGTTTTATGTTTTAAGACTTTTGGCGATTATTCATTCACATTAGTACTTCTTTGTTGGTCACCTTCTCAATCTAGAAATTCTTACCATGCATGTTTCTTACATTTCTATCTTTTTTAGCTGCCTGTGCTGAAGCGTCACACGTACATATTATCAAGGCCAATTTTAAATTCTATATCTTATTTGCTCAGGCAGCTTGAATTGTTTTATAGTGTGAGGTGCGCTAGAGCTATGTATTTTCTGTTTAAAAATTGCTCCCCCCCCCATAGTTTGATATATTTTAGTTAGGTTTTATTGTTATAAATATTTAAATTAAAAATGCAGCTGCTTAGAGGAATGAATGGAGTTTTGTGACTTAAGATTTGAAACCAACTGGAAACCCAGCTTTCTTGGAGAACCATATATATCAGGGCTTTTTAGTCTGTGGAGCACAGAGCCCCCCCCTTTTTTTTTTCATTTTTGCCAACTGCCTGAAGGGGCACACTCCCATAGGAATGGGGCTAGAAGAATTAGTTTGCATATTTTTAAATATTTGTTTAAATGTACAGCAGTGTTTATGTACTGTAAAAGTTGTTACAATGGGTTTTTCTTAAGTGAAAATGGGTTTAACTTTTTTTAAAAAAGGCTTAACCCTCTTTGTATCTTCTAATGACCAAACTAAAAATAGTATATTGGGGGCAGGGGTGCTGGGAGCCTCTCAACATATGGTCAGTGTTTGTCCTATATCCCCTAGGGCACAAACACACTTTCTAAGAAAAAAAAGGTGTGTTTTTTTCTGGAAAAAAAGTTTAAATATATGTTGAGGTGAGGAGCAAAAATGGCCTTGGGGTACAGCATGGGTCTCATGAGCTGTACACTGCCTATAGCAAACTATATGTTACAGATTATGCAAGTATTTGCTGCTGTCTCTGAACAAATACTCATTTCACTGTGAGAAGTATTTTAGGAAACTGTTGGCCGCCATGGCTCTGCAACGGGTTTTCTGTTTACCTGCTATAACAAATTTGTTTTATTGCCATATTGCCATACTGGAACTGGGAAACCATTATAAGTGAATGGCCCTTTATGATTCCAAATAGAGTTGACCCACTGATCTGCACTAGTTACTATGGTTGTCTCATCTGACATAGTAGACTGAATGAAGTTGTTAAGTGCAGCTAGAGCAGATCCACTGAATCAATGGGTGTTATGTAAGTGTTGATTTAACATGTTCCATTCGTTCAGTGAGCTTGGCTTGGTTGGGATCACCAACTGGATTTAGCACAGTGCTAATTGTTTTTTCTTGTGCAAACGGGGGCCTGTGAAGCATTGAAAAACCTGCCCTGTTTTGGTTTTTATTTATTTATTTAAACATTTATAGCCCGCCCTATATCACAGGATCTCAGGGCAGGTTATAAAGGTGTTTAAAAACAATTTTGAAACAGAAGATCTTTAAAGCAATTTAAACAGCAAAAAATCCTAACGTTCAAACATTAAAAAACATTGCACAAAAACCTGATCTTCCACCCTTTGAAGACTCAATTAAATATGTCTTGACTTGGTGCTGAAATGATGCCAGTGTCAGCACCAATCAAGTCTCCAAGGGGAAAGCATTCCACAGTTGGGGTGCTACAGCAGAAAAAGCCCTCCCCTGTGTCTCCAGATAATGAATTGTTCTCAGTAGTGGGATATGGAGGAGGGCCTGCCCAACAGATCTTAGTGATCTTTTCAAACTGTTTTTCAATATTTTTTTACCATAATGTTTTTGTCCGTTTTATTGCACATTCCTTTTGGGAGACTTATGAGAGGGAAAAATAAGTTTACATGTTTTAGTGATAAATTCACAAATAAATGATTTAAACAGGGCCTTTCATACTTGAGCAGTTATTGATCATGAGAGACAAGACCGTCATCCTTGCTGAGGACATTTTGTCTCTTCACTGTTGGTCTCCTAAAGATTTAAAGAACTTGGAGCAGTTGGCGGTTGGGCCAGAATTAGGGCAGACTCCAGGGATTAGTAGTAATAGCAACTGTCAGTCAAGAGGTTCTAATCTAGTGTGAGGTTTCAAATTGCTGTGTGTGACCTCATGAAAGTCTCCTGCCCTTATGTAGTTTTGATTAACTCTTTAAGGATAAAACCTGGGATCAACTGAAACAAAATAAAACTTGACAAGAAAACCAGATGTTGCCTTTTTGGGTTCACGCTTTCTGGGGAGCAGCTACAAAAATATTGGATAGCAGCAGAGTTGAGAAGAATATTATGCCTCCTGTCCTTCAAAACTTTCATCATTGATCTCTTTGGAAATTTGGATTCCCCTTTAATCTCAGATGTATAAAACCTGTTCTGGCATAAGTTTCCAATTGCTTAGTACCTAACTGCAAGAAAATAATCATCAAAGGCACATGCCAATGCAGAGGGAGGCCCACCTTTGGTGTACTTGCCAAAAAATATAACACCTGGCTTTGTCAAAATAAAATGGTTGGCTGCTGAAGAGTTACTTGTATTTCTGTGGATGTGTGTAAATGCTGTTAGAAGAACAGAAACAGTGTATCCCTGATCAGAGTGAAGTATTCATCTAATTTATCACATTTTCCCTTCAGATGTGTCTATTTGGCTTCTTTTGTAGCTCATGAGCAGAACAAGATGAAGAGAGCCCTGACATTTCTTCCCAGTATCTTCTAACCAGAGACATAGAATCTGGGAATATTAAAGTTGCATTTAGCTATCACTGAAACTATCTCAGGCAGAGGTGGCTCTCCAGATGGTGGTGTAGGGGAGTTATTTTTGTTTGGCCTAAAAATGTTGAGCGGGGTGCTGGCAAATAGTAGTAAGGGACTGTGGAACATGAAGTTCAAAAAGAATTGCAGGACTATGGTTGCTCACCTTGGTCTAGGATGTTTTAGTGACCCAAAATAAGATCTCTCCCCCATCTTCTAATGTCATCACCATGACTGGAAGCAGTGAGGAACTTACCTCTAGGTTTATTCTGATTCTGAAATTTTATTGGCAATCACATTTCATGCAAAACCAAACAAAAGACCTTTTTTGTCTTAGGCAACAGTCTTCAGCAGATAACTTCAGAAAAGGAAGAAAATTGTCCAAACAAACCTTCAGGCCCTTTCAACAAAAAGATTTCCACTGTAAGGAACAGCAGAGACTTACTGTGCCTAATAATGGGGTTTGAGGGGGTGGGATTTACTTCTACACAAATCTCTTGCATAGAAATTACTAAAGAAGTCATTAGAAGTTATGTATAAATGCACATCAAACAGGGCTGAAGGACTCTGTTATGGAGATAGCTTTATGCACTTCAGGAAAGTGTGTACATTTTATTGAAGATGCATTTTAAAAAGTGTGCTGCATGTGTGAATGAGTAGGATAATTTTTGTCTACTAGAAAATGTATCTTGTACAAAGCCATAGTAAGTTTTAGTACAGGACTTATAAAACAATTGCCTTCCTTTTCTGGAATACAACTGTATCTATCCTGCAAATTGTTTCCCAGGATATGCATAAAGAGAGGCATGGTGCAGCTTTCCAGCTGTTTCAGGAAATTATAAGGCTCAAAATGTATTGAAGAAATTCTTAATGACCAGACTGAAGTGAAGCACACAAGCCGACACTTTCATTTATTTTTGCTTTCTTTTTCCATGATAATTTGGAGCCAAAGATTAAATTTATAAGACATTTGGAAAGTGGCAAGAATGCTAATGTTAAATGAATTCTGCACTGAAAGGGGGAAAAAAATCAGGATTTTCATTTTACCATTTTTACACATATGAATGGAATTTCAGAACTTATTATACCAGATGCCAAATTTTAATCTATTCATTGTGTTTACAACTATAATCTGCTTTCTGAAATGAAGGGAGTACTGATGGAAAAGAAACACAAGCTCAGAACCCTTGAAACTTATTGCAAGTTTCTGAACCTTTCCTAATCACCCTCAAGGTTTTTTTAAAAATGAATAATAAAAAAGTACCTGTTCAATGTAAGTGGAAAATCTTTTCTCTAGCAGGTACAAGAGCATTGTTTTCCGAACCCTAAGGAATATAATGCATGACTGATGTAAAAAGACCACTACCTCAGCCTCTTTACCCATTTGCAACTACTACACATCTCATACATTATTAGGCACATTAGAATGTCACTGCTGCTTAAGCTGTCCAAACAAGAGGTGAAAAAAGCAGTATAATATCAGCAAGTCAAGAATATATTTCATTCTACAAATAACCTGATAAAGAGCACACAGATAACTTAAAATATGTTAAAATGCCTTAAAATATGTATATGCGTAAAGTCAGTGTTCTGTTCAGTTTTTGAAATATACCTGGTGGGGGGAAGTGATGTATCAACTTCTCAGCTCCTTAGTGTAGGAAAACTGAATTTAAATTTACTAATTTATTTACTTGGTATACTTATTAAGGTCTGTGATATGGTGACAGAGAACAATTACACATAAATTATGATAAACATGCTTGGGGGACATGTTGTGACCATCAGCTCTCTCCCACGTGGGCATTTAGCATCATGTCTGAAAAAGGCAATGAGGATATGAGCTGTCAGCACCAGTGGCATAGTTTGAGGGGGGACAGAGGGCCTGTCGCCCCAGGGTGCAACCTTGCTAGGGCCACAACCACTGCCCTTTCATACCCCCCAAGCTCTGTCTTGCCAATTTCTGTCCATCTGTCCTCCCTCCCTCTCTTCCAAGACCCCCGGCCTAGCACAAATGTGGTGCCATGTGACAAAGGGGACAGATTGGTCCATCAACAAGGGTGGGTGGGGGGCTGCAGCAGCAGCTGCTGTTGGGCAGCCAGAGCCATGTGGGCCAGGCTGGGAGTGACAGGAGTCTGGGTGCCACTGTGGCTCTTCCTGGCTGGAGCTGGTAGTGGTAGCATAGCAGCAGGAGCTGGAGGCACAAGGGTTCCCTCTCCACACCTTGGCTGAGTACAGTGTCAGGTAGGTGAGGAGGAGTCAGGAGGAGATGGGGGAAGGAGGGACGATGGAAGAGGATGAGGGTGCCTCAAGGGTACTCCTTTCAGGAACAGAGGGGGGATGAGGAGGCACAGGACCACGAGTTACATCATTGGTCAGCACACAGATTTCGTGTGTGCAGTTGGGGACTGTGGAAGAGTCTTAGAAATAAGCACATGACCAACCAAATAACATACCAGTTAATTTCTATTATTTTTGCATAATGTGAAAGACCCACACTTACAAACACCGAAGTGTGGCTCTCCTGGAGAAAGGGCCTGGTTGGGAAGGTTTCATGGCTAGCCTAAAGCTAACTCCACCCTAGCTAAGAAGTTAACACATAGCTTCCTGTTCAGAAAGGAGGCTACTAGACGGGCAATGAAGGAGTAGACTGCCCTATTGACTGGGTGGAGTGTGTGCGAAGTTTCTGAATAGGAAGCTAGGATGAAACTAGGCCTCTACTAAACCCAGCTAGACCTCTTCTCTAGAGGAGTCAAATTTATGTGTCTGTTATGTGTCTTTAAGTGTCTGTCAGGTAGAACTCCCAGAATGCAGAATTATTGGATTTGTAGTCGAGGAAATCCCAAAATCCGATGCTTATGGAAGACTAATATGTAAAACTCTCATCTCAATGTTGCGGGTAGCAGCTTCTTCAGAAATAATACAAAGGTTGAAAGTTTTTCTTTCTCTGGAAAGTCAGTTTAATAGGACTTGGAATATTGAATTGGTTTAGAAGTTAACACATATAAGAGAGGCTAAAAGGGAAGCCAAAATAGATAATTTGCAGAAGATAAGAGATTAGTGAAACATTAGTTGAAATTTTGAAAAAGCAAACTCCAATGGAAATCAGCAGACATAATTCAGCTGGATATAAAATAAATCTAACTGCAAATTTATAATCAAAGGCCCTGTTCACATACTATTACCCTGTAACCTATGAATGGTATGAAAGGCAAGCTAGATCATGCCTGCAGAATGAGGATGATCTGAATTTGATCACATACCTATATTACATTTTTAATCAGCCAAGGGAACATCAGAGAGAGTAGGACACTATTACCTGTGAATTCTTACGGTACATGAATTGTTTGGTCTTTTAGTTCAGTCTAATATTGGCATGAAGATTGTAACATTCTGAATTAATGTATGTATCTGATCATGGAACCAGTTGTTTCGAAATAACAGGGGTGGTTATCTTAAACAGACTCAAAGAACAAGTTGGATGATCTCAGCTGAAGAGTCAGATAACCATTGTGCTTCTTACAAGGAGATGAATTTCCATGAAAGTGCCAGGTCCATTTTAATCCAGCTGTATGGAGCCATACAGGTAAAGATTTTTATGAGAATTAGGAAGATTCTATTCATGTTATTGTGTGCATGTAATGAGAAGAGAAAAAAAGAAGTGAGGTTGTTTAAATCCTGGTGAGACAGGTTTCCTAAAACTGGTTCCAGTCAACAGCCTAGTGGTAATATTTAGAATATCTGAATTTCCTGAACAAAGGTAACCCTAAGTACAGTATATTACAATAATCAACCCTAAATGTTTGCATAGCATAATCAATTGTGGCCAGTCTTTCTCTGTCTCAAGAGAAGCAGTGGCTTGTGTGCTAGCATACACTGAGGAACTGGTCTCCTTTTCTTATTGCCTACTTGGGCCTTCAGTGACAGGCTGGATCTAATGATATCCTAAAGTGTGGGTGAACAAGAGTGGGGCCACATAGGCTTCTCTTACTGTACCCCCAACCCCACTGGATTTCTCCCAAAATAGCAATTTATAAGACCTCATTCCCAGAAGCTTCAAAGGGTACACAATTTGCCATTTTATGTCATTCCTCCTGAGCCTGGAGTACAGGGTCGCCACACTTCAAAAAAGACATCGTGGAACTGGAAAAAGTGCAGAAGAGAGTGACTAAAATGATGACTGGGCTGGGGCACCTTGTGGTACTTAGCAATTTGTCTTTAATAAATTAGGCAGGTTTTGAGGGGAGGTTTGTTTTATGGAAAAAGTTAGCTGTACGTTTAGACTGTACACTTACAATGCTTAATAGTATCAGTAGTTTCCAGAAATAAAATACTAAATTCACAATCCTACATACTACCTGTGTAAATTCTGTTGATATCAGTAAAGTTTAAACAGAAAAACTACTTTTGTAGATTGTAGCCTTGAACTCCTTTCATCAGAAAAATCATGTCAGTACAATTTACTGTCACTAAGAGGTTAGCTATTTGTTAGATACCAGAGGCCCTTACATGCTGCCAGAGATGTTTAAATTGCACCAGGAAATGATACTATGTACTGCATGGAAAGTGTGTGATAGCATGTTTTCAGTTATGGAATAGAATTCCTTTTAAAACATAAATGACTTTTAACAGATGATTCAATAGAGATGTTTCTGTGAGGAAAAAAACAAATAGTCAAAGTTGTCAGCAGATAACTGCTTGTTGGAATGCAAAAACAACATTCTCCAAAATAAAAATCCTTCTCCATAATTTAATTCCTCCTGGTCCCCCTGTTTCCTTATACAGAGATTGAAGCAAGACATGAAGAATCTCCGCTTGTCTGCCCTTCAATTTTCCAGGGATGTCCAGCATCAAGGCAAGAGTTTTTTCTACCAGATTCTGACTGCTGTCCAGAAGCTACAGCTACATAATGAGGTCATGCAAAGTAAGTAAGGAGCACCAATTGAAACTGGCCAGTCTGGTATCGAGTTGCTTGAATGGATGAATAGTTCCATTGAGACATGGTGTTAGATTCTGCCACAAGCATTGTCTAGTGAGGAGCTCCTTTTCAGATGCAAGTACCTTACCCTATGCTGTTGGTCAAGATCATACTGTATAGCTGGTTGGGTTGATAGGGAAGGTAGTTTTGCTTCTGTTCTCCTTGTGTAACATGGTTTTTGTCTCTTTGGAATGCAAGTTGCTGAGCTAGTACAAAAATGCATTGGTCCTAATGGAAAGTAAATCTAAGTCAAAGTTTCCATGGAAACTAACCATGCAATAAAGGTTTGTCCTGTAAGGATGGTAAGGAATGCTGCTTCAGCTCAGTGATTAACTTATACAGCACTTATCAGCAGGTATCAGCCAGAAGTGTACAAACAGGACACAAAGGTGTTGGCTGCCTTATCTGGATAATCTCCTCCATCTGGTACTTAGAGGATGCTATCTTTGAAACAGAGTTTGGAAAAGTTACTATGGGGGATGATAGCTCCTAGAATCTGGTAGTTGGAATCTGTAAAGTAACTTTCCATGGAGTACAATATAGAAGTTCCTTTTAATTGTCCTGGCTAATAGCCACTGTTGGTACTAAACTACATGAATCCTAATAATGCTAGTCCTAGAATAGTAAGACTCTTATATATGTGATTGCATTTTGCAGCTTACATGGGTCTGTGCATCTGACTGCTTAATGGTGAATGGTTTCATTTTTCTGGAAGAACATTATCCCTTAACCAATTACGTATCTTGTGTTTGTTGACATGACATGCTGTGTGGTGGCTTCAGATGTCCTGTCTTACTTTTGATTCAGGGACAATTTTGGAATATGATTTTAAAAAGTAGGAAAGTATTCATCTGTCTTTAAAAACAAAGAAAAACCCCTACATATAAATACAATATACATTATTTTCCTTGATAGGACCACATGCATACTCATGAACACAACTTACATATACAGTACATGCACGTAAAGACTTTTGGAATATGACTGCTTTATAAAGTAAATTTTTTGTGTACTGATATTTCTAATAATTCTAAATTGTTTTTCTGTTTTTGATTTGTTTTAATTAAATGGAGGCACTACTGTGAAAAGAGGTGTCCTGTTACAATATTATAGTCCTGGCTAAGCCATATAAACCCACATGGGAAACTACTCCTTGAATATTTTAGAAACTCTATTAGGCCCACCACCAGTTGGAAAGAACCTCTACCTGCCCCCATGGTGTGCATGTAAACTAAATTCACCATCTAATATGGACAGAACATGGAATGTATACCTAGAAAAAACACAGCATTCTGAACAGTGTGAAATATTGGTTGCAGTTCCACATTTAGCTTATGGTACAGAAGCAACAGATGGAGCTCAATATTCCATAGCCTTACACCAGGGTAATTTCATCATTTTCAGTAGAAATTCTCAAAGTCTGTTACTGAGGCTTCACTAAATTCATTGGAGGAAATGAAACTATGCTATGGGATCAGATAGCATAGCAGTACAAGCATTGAAGAATTGGCTTTAAATACAGTGGTGCCTCACAAGACGATGTTAATTCGTTCCGCGAAAATCGCTGTTAAGCGAAAACATTGTCTTGGGAAACACGTTTTCTCATTGAAATGCATTGAAAACCTGATAATCCGTTCCAATGGCAACGGATTGTCATCGTAAAGTGAAAATTGCCATAGGAAACATTGTTAAGCGAAACGCAGTTCCCAAGTGAAAACAGCCGTCTAACGAAACAGAGACCATTAAAAGACTCATATAGTGAAGCAAGACTAAGCTGTCAAAAACATTGTAAAGCGAAAAACAGGGACCTAAAATTTTACCGTCTTGCGAGGCAAGGTCCCTAACATCGTAAAGCAAAAATCACCCATAGGAAACATCATTAAACTCAAATTCAGGACAACAGAGACCATTAAAAGACTCATATAGTGAAGCAAGACTAAGCTGTCAAAAACATTGTAAAGCGAAAAACAGGGACCTAAAATTTAACCGTCTTGCGAGGCAAGGTCCCTAACATCGTAAAGCAAAAATCACCCATAGGAAACATCATTAAACAAAGCGCAAGATCGCTCCGAAAACCTAATCGTAAAGCGAATTCATTGTTATGTGACACAATCGTCTTGTGAGCCACCACTGTACCTGGATTTAATCAACTAAGTTTAGGACAGAGAAACTTAAAAGCTGAACATCTCTAAATTTGCCTCTGGAGGTTATTGCTGTGCTGAAAAAAAATAAAAGGTCTTTTTTTCCCTGGCTTTGCACCTTTTCCTTGTCCCCGTACCCTTAATTTCTGCTCATAAAATCAGATACGGTCATGGTTTGATTTGATAATAGTTGCTTGTCCTTTTTCTGAAGGCTAGGAATTTTCAGAATCAATCTTCTTTGCAGTAGCAAATATTCAGCTGTCAAAATTAACCATTGCCTTAAGATTACCTGATATTCTCAAGCCCACTATGACATTAAGGTGTGCAACCACATATGTGTGTGTGTGTGTGGGGGGATTTGTGGCCTTCCAGTGAGTGCTGGAATGTATTCATCCCTCTCTTTTGGCTATGAGCTTTCAGAAACACTGGAGAACCCACAAATACAGTAAAGGTGAACATTGAGGTTTTAGAGCAGATCTGGAAAGAAGCTGAAATTCACATTACATCAGCACTACTGATAATGTTGTTGCCAGTACATTTCTGATTGACATGACATGTCCAACATACTGATGGCCTCTATGCTTAAACATGGTGGGTCTTGGTATCATCAGATTTTGTCTCAAGAGTCTCCCAATATCTTCAAAATTATTTTGTGGTGGCACTCTTCAATTCTTATACGTTTATATAGGCATGTGTGAAATGTCTTGTGTCTTCAACAGACACAAGTATGGGGATTTTTGCACATCTACCAGCATTGGTAGAGTTGCTCAAAAATCATAGAATAATGGAGTTGGAAGGGCCCTATAAGACCAAAAATATATTACAGTTCTTAGTAGTTCTTCACGCCCCACTGATATTGCTTGATAGGATGTCATCATATTGCAATTTGGATGGAACTGATTCATGGAGACTGTAATGCAATTGTGGTGAAGTTTCTACTGTGTCCCACCAAAAAGAAGAAAACAGTGCTAGATCTGAAGAATTCTTTGCAAATAACATTTTTTCTAGCCCTATCATTTTGTTTCCGTTTTTGTCATGGTTTTCCTTTTGTACAATTGTGAGTGCAGAAACATTCCAGATGCAACAAAAACTTGTAGCCCAACACTTCTGTGAATATTTGTGTAAATGTCTTTCCAGCATTTCAGACTAAAGCTCTTGAACTTGAACAGTCTTTGCATGAAGTCAATGAGAGATACCAGAAAGAAAAGCAAAGGAGAAAAGTTCTTCATAACAGTTTAGTTGTGAGTATCCTGATAATTAAGTCTATAATATCTGGAAAAGAGCCATAGAAGTCTTAGGTGCCAAGGAGCTCTCTTGTCCATTTAACAGCTGAGCACCAGCCAAGGAGCAAACAGCTGTGTTTTTTCCTGACTCTTCCCAACTGCTCCAGTGTCAAACTGGAATTCCAGCTTGCTCAAGTAGACAAGAGAAGCCATGGCTATTGTTGCATCCTTTGAAGCTACAGAGTTGTTTAAAGAAATGGGAAGGTTGCTCAAGTTACAACTTAATATGTGTTGACCAAATAAGCTGCCTGTAGTTATTGTTATTTGCTGTTAAGTTGCCTCCAACTTATAGTGACCCTATGAAAGAGCAATCTCATTTTTCAATATTCTGTATTACATTTCTTTGAAGCAGTTTTGTATGTTTAAAAGGTAAAGGTTCCCCTTGACATTTTTTTTAGTCCAGTCGTGTCCAACTCTAGGGGGCGGTGCTCATCCTGTTTTCAAGCTGTAGAGCCAGTGCTTGTCCGACGACATTTTCCATTGCCACATGGCCAGTGTGACTAGGGAACATCATTTTACCTTCCCACCGAGGTGGTACCTATTTATCTACTCGCATTTGCATGCTTTCAAACTGCTAAGTTGGCAAGGAGCTGGGGCAAAGTGACGGGAGCTCACTCCGTCACGTGGATTCGATCTTACGACTGCTGGTCTTCTGACTCTGCAGCACAGGCTTCTGCGGTTTAGCCCACAGCGCTACCACATCCCCACGTTTACACAAACACAAAAGTTATGGTAATACAATACCGATGACAGTTAGGTGGGATGTGGAGATACTAAAGTCTGTTGTCCAGAATCCTTGTGGTTATTGTTGTTGCTTCCTGCTTTCAGGTTGCCTCTGATTTATAGTTGCTACCTGCTTTCAGGTTGCCTCTGCTTTTCTGTGTGAATGAGACATCTCCAAAATGTCCTGTCCTCAATAGCCCTGCTCAGCTCTTGAGCCTGTAGCTTCCCTTAGGGAATCAATCCATCTTGTATTTGCTTTTCCGCTTTTCCTGCTGCCTTCAGCCTTTACCAGCATTATTGTCTTTTTCAGGCAACCTTGCCTTCTCATGATGTGCCCAAAGTAAAACAACCTATTTCACCTTTTTTGCCTTCAAAATAGTTCAGGCTTGATTTGATGTCCAGAATCCTACTCGGGCTAATTGTACAAGTTGCCACTTGTATTCTGTTTCATTCTGTTTCATCTGTCAGTCACATGACTTCATGCATGATGGGCGATGTGAGCAGCAACTCCTTAATTAGTAGCAAGATTACTTAATTACATAAAAACTCAATCCTTAGTGAATTCTGGCCATTTCATGAAAAATCTTAATTTAACTAAGATGATTTTTGTTTGTCAACCTTCCAGTTGTCATTATATTTATGATTACTGAATCTCTAGATCATTAAATTGCACCCTCCAGGTATAAGTTATTCTTATCCCAGACCTTTGACACAAGGTGACAGCCTTATTCTCCTCAGTCCAGCTTCCTGTCCTGTGATTCTGAGCCACTGTAATCTCACTTGTATTTAGTCCATGAAGTCAAATACTGTAGCTGCAATTTAAGTAGAGTAGTCTCTTAAAATCTGTGAGGCTTAGTTTAAATGCCTGTCTTAGTTACCATTATTTGTCAAGATTAGACCCAAATACTTGTCCAAGCACACCTTGGTTGGACTGGTTGATTAATAATAAGGCTTTCCCCCATTCTTTTCTACCTTTTAAATATTGTAATACAAATACTATTAATTAGATTATTTTTCAATAAAATTGTGGTCATCCTTTTCCTAATCATATCATCAGTAGGTGATCCATTTAAAGAAAGTGCATAGATTGGACATTTTTTCCTTAAATACTTGTAAAAAAATTAATTAATTAAAAATACTCCCCACACAGGAATATGCATCATCAACAACAAAACATAGAACGTAAGACTATAAAATTATTACAAATGAAATGCTGGATTATAGGTTAGAGAAAAAAACTTCCTAATGTGCACCATATAGAAAAGATAATATCTGTGTTCTCCTCCTTTTGCTGTGTAACGTTAATTCATATCATTTCAGCAGTGGTTACTTACATTGAGCTGCTGCCTCAAGCCACTGAAAGTATGCACAGCTAGCAGGACAGCAGTGTTTGGACCATTGTTCTGTAGATTTCTTATTGAAATTATATGAGCAGAAATCAGTTACTGTACACTGAAAGGTGATTTCTGTAATCAATATACATTGTATACATTTGAGAAAACTTGTTTTGGTTGGCATGAATAGATGGTGTAAAGGTTTGCAGAATCTTGAAGCCTGCCAAACTGAACGCCAAGCTCTGCCAAGTGTTTGTGGTTTTGCTTGTTATAAACATGTTTAAGCCTTAGTGGCATAGCCTCAAGGGCTAGAATTGTGCTGCTTGAGAAAAAAAAAGTAAGAAGAGAAAACTTGAGATCCTCAGGTTGCAGAATTCTTTGGTTTGAAGGAATTTCTCTGCCTATGTGGCACACTTGGGGAATATGCACAGCTGTGCTCATACTGAAATCATCTTTTGCCTCCTGTGAAGCATCACCAGATCATTAGTGACTGAACTGGATGTTCCCTTCTGAGTGTCGTCCCTTCTCTCTTGTACTATCTTGATTGTGGATGCTTTAGAATGGGATGGAAAGAGTATCTCCTCCCCTAAAATCTTGTTGGACTGCAACTCCCATCAGTCTAGCAGGCTAAGTCAGTAGTGAGGAATGATGGGAGTTGCAGTCTGGTACCATCTGAAGGGTGATACACTCCCCATTCCTGCTTTAGAATAAATGGTTTGGGCCTTCAGTTAAAATCCATGAGATTTCTTGTCAAGTAAATGTGTTTAGTATCAAACTGTAAGGTATGTGCATTTACTGGTTTTTCAACTGCTGTTGTATCCCCAGGAACTAAAGGGCAATATCAGAGTACACTGCAGGATCCGTCCATTGTTACCATTTGATGTGGCTCTTGGAGAGCCAGCCTTTGAAGACAGGTAATTTATTTCATGCCTGTAGTTACAGTATATTAACCAGTGCTTTGATGTCTTTTCAGGCAAAGACCGTTTTATTTTCTCAAGATTTTTATCATTCTTAAATTGTTTTGATCAATTTTATTTCGAGGCTGCTTCTATTGAGCTCTTATTTATGGTTTATTTTGTGGTATTTTAAGTGTGCTGGGGTAAGCCATTCTGATAAGGAATTTGAACCCCAAGATGTACAAATTTAAACAAATTGTGTTTTTTCTCTCTGAAAGTATTACTAAGATTTTATCTTTTGAATACACTGAAAATACTTTTTGCTTTACTGTTATCAGAATATAAGTGGGACATGCATATACATACGCACACACACATATACTTGAACACACAGAGCCAGACTTACCCTTTTTGCAGCATTAAGGAGAAGAAGCCAAATAATTCACTCTTCACCCGTGCACCCAGGCTACCCTCTTAGTTTTCTACCCAAATATATATTTCTGGAACTCCTGATGACTCCATGAGCAGTTTCATTCCCCTCTGAATGAGGATTAGGGAAGAGAGTTCCTCCTATAGATATATGTGTGTGTGTGTGTGTGTGTGTGTGTGTGTGTGTACTTTTGCAACCTTTGAAGTTTCACAGAAGTGTACTAATTATTCCTTCTTTGCTTCTCAGTGGCCCCATTTTAACTCCAATCCTATTGGCACATAAAACACCTGAATTTGCAGAATGTTGATGGTGCTCATTAATGTCTCTGTCTATAGCTGGGATGAATTAGTTTCACGTGGTCCTCTGGATGCTGTTGCAACTAGTGATGATGTAGGTTACAGTCCAAAAACATCTGAAGAAACATGTGTTCTCTATCCCAGGTTCAAAGTCTTTCAGTTTTCTGGATCTGAAGGATTGGTGTTTCCTGGCATCTCCATAGTTAACTTCAGAATACAGATGGAGAATGTGTTAGAACTGTACATGCATATTCTATTACAACTAGCTTCCATACTGATGAAGGAAAGGGTGCTTCTGCACCATCTTTTCATTTGCTGTAAGCCTGACGTACAATAGAGGATGTTAGGGGAGAATAAAAATCTTACTTCCTTACATTTTTCTCCTACGCCAAGCCTGTTGGGCCATTGGAAACAGTTTTGGTGGCTGAATAAAATTATTTCCAGACTGCTAGTTACCATCTCTGGTTTGAGACAGCTAATGGCAGATTTTTCCCATTCAGTCTCTGTGGGCTGGTATAGATGTGTACACTAACAATGTCACAGCAGAAGAAAGACAAGTCCACTAAAGTGCCAATGAAGGCAGATAGCTGCTCTTTTCTGTATCATTGAACTGAATTTTTGTATTATACTGCCTGCCAAACACTCCAGCCATATGGTTTTTCTTATTTCCAACACTGTTTTTGCTGTGTCACATGTGCCTAAACAACAGGCCAGCCCAGGTGGTGGAAAGAAAAGAACATAAAAACTAAACTGCAGTTTTGTGATCTCAATAGTCCCTGTAATCAATTCTGGTTCATAGAAAGTCTCAGGAAGGCTGTTTGTTTTTGCTTGTACTTGTGTATTTGTGTCAAGTTGCTCAGACTTAGGCTAGGGAGTGGAATAAAAATATTGTTGCAATTTGCAAAGTCTTTAAAACTAAGAGGAAAGCAATGCAATTTAGGCATCATATTGTTTTCGGAGATCCTGCAGGTAACTCTTTATTTATCTACAAAATTGCCACACAAAACAAATCAGTCAGGGCTATACCAAACATCTAAACTTTCTTGAAGCCACTTCCAGATTACAGCATATAGGGACCCTAGCAGATACACACACACAAACGTCACACACACACAAACGTCACACACACACACACACACACACACACACACACACACACACACACACATATGTGTGTGTGTGTGTGTGTGTGTCACGTTTGTGTGTGTGTGCGCGCGCGTGCGCATGTATATATATATATGGAGTTGTTTTGTTTGTTCTTTAATGTGTAGGCAATTTACTCTTAAGAGTCTTGTGCAGCGTGGGTTTCTTTACTGATAGTTTCATTCTAAATATATGTGTTTTATCTTTAAAAGGCAGAGAAACTTTTTGGAAAAAGTGGTGTATGCAGCTGATGATGTGAGTATATTTAGTTATTCTTATATTCTACACTGGAAACAAATTAAGAGCAGATCCCTTGTGAGGATCTGCAAGAAAGAGCAGACTGTAATGACCTTACCCTCTGGAGGCCTTACATTTCTGACATGCAGCTTTCCCTGTTTTCTTGACCCTGTTCCTCTAAGCGCTCCCGAGGCTTGCTTTGAAGCCTGTATGGCTTTGATTTTATTCTGTTTTTGAGTGCATTTAGCCCCTAAAGTGTTTTTCATCTCACACCTGACACCATTTTCTTTAATGTACTTTGGTTAAATATATCACTCAGTTAAGGAAACCTCATTGCTATGGCTGCAGTAGAAGAGGTGTCTTTAAGACAGCATTCAAAAAACCCCACAAACTGAACTTGATTGAAACAGGACAATCACTCTTCCTTAGCTATGTCTGTTTCCTGTTTCACCAATGTCTTTCCTCTCCTTTGCCCTTCCTACTTTTGTTCTGCTTTCTTTTCGTCACCATTGTTGGTTATTTCTCTCCTTACCTGATCAGCAGACTCCTTCTTAAATTATCTTGCTTGAATGAACTTGTAAAAGTTACTTTTTAGAGTGCAACTACCAGAACGCCCCAGCAAAGTCTGGCCACTGACCATGTTGGCTAGGACATTCTGAGACAAAGCTGTAGTAAAGAAGATAACTTTCCTAAGCTCTTATTTTTGCTCTCACCTCCACTCCCACTGACCAGGCAATCAGGAAACAGATACGTATGTGCACCTGCTTAACTGGCACTGTGAAATAACTCATTTTCTGCCAGCTGTCTAGGTGCTGCTGCTGTGCCAATTGTGCATGAGACAGAATAAATTAATCAAGGGTGGTGGAGACTTGACTGCAGGTGAAACAGCTGGAGTGAGTGTGTGGACCGGTCAGTGCTGGTTGCTACCATAAATCAGCCATAGAATCATGGGTTGAAATCCATTTCATAGTATAAGCAGCGTAACTTGCTGTCCATTCCTCCTTGGTAAACAAAATGTTCCTGCTGTGATTTGGGGGGGGGGCAACGATTCATGCTGGCTTCATGCATGTGCAACACCCTCCCCAAAAAATCACAGCAGGGATGCTTTGATTGCTGAAGATGAATGGACAAAAAGTTACAAATTGGTTTACTTTACAAAGAGGATTTCAGCCATAATCTTGTAGAGCTGGAAGGAATTCCAAGGGTCACCTAATCCAACCCTGCTCCCCGCTAAATTTCAAAATCCACACCTAAAACCATCTAACTTTTTTTCCAAAACTTCCCATGAAGGAGAGTCTCTCACCCTCCAAGCTAATACATGCCATTGGCAAACATCTCTTACTGCCAAAATATTCTTTCTAATGTTTAAGTGAAGTATTTTGAATAATCTGAATCCATTACTTTAGGTTTTATCATCCAAACGTACAGAAAATAAACAAACCCCACCCTTTGTGTGACAGTCCTTCAGATCTGTGGAAAGAACTATAATAATACTGCTCAGTCTTCTCTTCTCAGTTATCCAGATTTGTCTGAGTGCGCAAGCTTGAGATGTTACCCTCTGCTTTCTGTTTCCTGTCATGTCAAGTTTCCTCCCTGGTGATAGGTGTCACCCACACATGCACACAGGTTCTGGGCGGGGATGGCAGAAACATCAGTTACAAGATTTTAATTGGCTCAGATGTTTAACTGACTTGTTGTTGTTATTTAGTCGTTAAGTCGTGTCTGACTCTTCGTGAACCCATGGACCAGAGCACGCCAGGCCCTCCTGTCTTCCACTGCCTCTGAGAGTTTGGCAAAATTCATGTTGGTCACTTCGGTGATACTGTCCAACCATCTCGCCCTCTGTCATCCCCTTCTCCTCTTGCCTTCACACTTTCCCAACATCAGCGTTTTTTCCAGAGAGTCTTCTCTTCTCATGAGATGGCCAAAGTATTGGAGCCTCAGCTTCAGGATCTGTCCTTCCAGTGAGCACTGAGGGTTGATTTCCTTCAGAATGGATAGGTTTGTTCTCCTTGCAGTCCAGGGGACTCTCAAAGGTCTCCTCTAGCACAACAGTTCAAAAGCATCAATTCTTTGGTGGTCAGCCTTCTTTATAGTCTAGCTCTCACTTCCATACATTGCTACTGAAACAACCATAGCTTTGACTATGCAGACCTTTGTC